TCTACATGCTTCTTATTGGTATACCTAACCTAGGGCTTGTAGAAGATCCTAAGTGGGAACACCTGGCTGAAATGAAAAGAAAGATGTAGAAAAACGAGCAGTCTCTAACCAGGTACTTCTGGTCACAGAAATACAGAAATTTTGGCCATAAACAAATTCTCACACAGATATTCTCATACAGAAAATGTTAACTAATGATTAAAGACAATATAAGATGACCAGAGCAGATAGTGTGATGGGTCTTAGACGTGAGACTTCGCCCAGCCTCAAGGGATCTAATTAGATAGAAAAGAATGAGGTTATCTGAACAGAAGCGAAGATATGAGGAAAGTGTAAAAATAAGTACATCTAAGACACAGGAACACACGATTAATAAAAGAATCTGCCTAAAATAGATCTCTGTTGGGCAGGAAATAAGGTGGAAAAAGGCTAAGTCACAGGGAGCCTCAAATGCTGGGCTAAATTGTTTTTATATCACCAAATGCCGAGGAGGTGAGAGGGGTCTGACGTAAGGGAAGGCTGGAAGACCACTGGCAGTTTTTGAGCAAAAGAATAATGAAAAGTTGTTTTGGGAATAACCCAAAACTAATGATAAAAAATTTAGGAACAAAACAAAGCTAATGACTTAAAACAGGGACATAGAGACATCAATCTGTAAATGACGACAACATCAAAACAACAAAACGAGGAATAAACTCTCAAACACAGAGGAAATCAAGGAGATATCAAGTAATAAAAGACTATTTCAAACTTAGGAACGTAAGGGTAAATTTCAAAGTAACCATAAAGAAAGTTAACAAACCTACTCATCAGAATAAAAAAGAAAAAAAACAAAGTCTCAGTAAATACAAAGTCTATAATAAAAGGGGGAAAAAAAAAAAAGAAAATCCACAAACGAATTCACCACAGGAAAGTAAGAGGAACAAAGAAAACACCAGCAACACAAAAAAAGCACAACAATAAACTCATACCTATCGATAATCACACTGAATATAAAGGGCTTAAATGCGCCTGTAAAGAGACAGAGTGGCAGAATGTATAAAAAAGCACGACCCATCAATATGCCACCTACAAGAGATATACCTTAGACACAAAGACATAAATATATTAAAAATCAAAGGATGGAAAAAATATATCAGGAAAACAGTAACCCAAAAATATAATGTAATCATATATATAATATAATATTATATATATAATATACAACCTCAGTGGCAATATAATCTAAGATAAAATAGACTTTAAAACAAAATCAACTATAAAAGACAAGTAAAGGATATTATATGATGATTAAAAGGACAATACACCAAGAAGATGTAACCTTAATAAATATCTACACACCCCATGACAGGGCTCCAAAATACATAAATTAAACTCTAACAGCACTGAAAAGAGCAACTGACTGTTCCACAATAATAGTAGGAGATTTCAACACACCACTCTCAGTAAAGGATAGAACATCTAGAAAGAAACTCAACAAAGACACAAAAGATCTAAAGGCCAAAACCAACCAACTTAACCTCACAGACATATACAGAACACTCCACCCAACAGGAGCAAAGTATACATTCTTTTCCAATGGACATGGAACATTCTAGAGAATAGACCAAATTTTAGGCCACAAAACAACCTCAATAAAATCCAAAACATCGAAATAATACAAAGCATTCTCTCTGATCACAACATCATAAAAGTAGAATTTAATAGCAGGAAGAGCAATGAAAAAAAATCAAATACTTGGAAACTTAAAAACACCTTGCTTAGTCTGGGGGTCTTAAAAGCCTGTGAGCAGCCATCTAAGATATTCCACTGGTCTCACCTCTTCGGGGGCAAGGGAGAATGAAGAAAACAAGATACAAGGGAAAGATTAGTCCACAACTACCATGGCCTCCACCAGACTGAGTCCAGTACAACTAGATGGTACCCGGCTACCACCAATTGCTCTGACAGGGATCACAACAGAGGGTCCTGCACAGAGCTGGAGAAAAATGTAGAACAAAATTCTAACTCACAAAGAAAGACCAGACCTACTAGCCTGACAGAGACTGGAGAAACCCTGAGAGTATGGCCCCCGGACACTGTTTTAGCTCAGTGATGAAATCACTGCCGAGGTTCACTGTTCAGCCAAAGACTGGATAGCCCCATAAAACAAAATGAGACTAATGGGGCACAACAGCCCAGTGAAAAGGACTAGAAGGCAGGAAGGGACAGGAAAGCTGGTAATAGGGAACCCAAGGTTGAGAAGGGAGAATGTTGACATGTCATGGGGTTGTTAACCAATGTCATAAAACAACATGTGTACTAACTTTGATGAGAAACTATTTGTTCTGTAAACCTTCATGTAAAGCACAATTAAAAAAAAATTTTTTTTTAAAGATTAATCAGGCCTATAAAACAAAGAATAATATGCAAGGCATTTGCATCATAGTTCAGTCAAGTATACGAGACCAAATGGGCAACACCTGTACAGAGAAGCAAGGACGAGAAGGCAGGAAAGAACAAGAAAACTGGAAAAATGGACACAGAGAACTTGGGGTAGAAAGGAAAAGGGGGAGAGTGCTGACACATTGTGGGGACTGCAACCAATGTCAGAAAACAATCTGTGTATAAATATTTGAATGAGAAACTGATTTGCGATGTAAACTTTCACGTAAAACACAACAAAATAAAAATTTATGAACAGATTTATTCAGAATTTTTATATAAAGCATACTGTAGCATTCCATTTTTCTAGAATGCAAACATATGGTGAACTGAAGTTACAAGAATTATTCCTGGAGAAACTACACTAGGGACTGAGATTCATTATGGCGATCCTCATGTAATTTATTTTGGTGTTGGCGAAGAATATTGACTATACCATGGATGAACAAATCTGTCTTGGAAGAAGTACAATCTGAATGTTCCTTAGAAGCAACAATGGCGAGACTACGCCTCCCATACTTTGGGCATGTTATCAGGAGGGATCATTCCCTGGAGAAGGACATCATGCTTAGTAAAGTACAGGGTAACTGAAAAAGAGGAAGACCCTCAACAAGGTGGACTGACACAGTGGCTGCAACAATGTGCTCAAGCATAACAACGACTGTGAGGATGGTGCAGGACCATGCAGTGTTTCGTTCTGTTGTACACAGGGTTGCTATGAGTTGGAAGCGACTCGACGGCACCTAACGACAACAATGTCCTTTATAAAGTGACCCTAAAAAATTCGAACATTATCTTCAAAACCAAAGGAAGACTGAACCGCATTAGCGTTAAGCTGGAATGATTCTGGTGTTCTACACATATTTTATCCTAATTCTCTGACGGCTAGCTTAGCACATGTTGCCTTCTGTTCAAGGCTGCTGAGATGGGGGAAAAAAATACACACACAAACACACAAATTATTTTTAAAAAATAAAATCGTAACAGTACTGGGAAACAAAAAGGGTACTATCATCATGCCAAGAATTTTGAGGAATTCAGAAAGGCAGATGGGATCATAAGGAGCTTATTACTATTTCATTTCTTGGTAATAAATACATATCAACATTATTTGCTACCGTCGTTTTATGTTTTCTGGTTGTAAAATACAAAAATAAAATAAAGGAAAAAGGAAAAACAAGAGTGAATTTTTGTATAGCTTGAAGTATCCTATTATATAAGGATGTTCCCAAAGAATGATAAGGACATGTCAAAAGGAAACAGGAGCCAGTTTGAAGGGATTCCCACTAGAAAAGTCTAGAACAATTAGAGGATCATAATACAGTAGTGGATTATCACTCATTAAATAAGCCATGAGTCCGTACAAATTTAAATAAATAATATTTACATACATAAATACACAGAGAAGGGAAAGCTCTTCCTTCATTAGAATGCCAACTAATAAATGCAGAAGGATTGATGGAGTTAGCAAATCACCATTTTGCAACCATCAGAGTAATAATTTACTCAGCCAAGAATTATCAATGGAAGCTAAAAGTAGTGGGTGGATCATTTCAAGAGAAACAGGATATTTACATAGTCTCAAACTATCTTCCCACAAATTACTCATTAATTATAAAGGAAAAAAATATTTACTTCACAGTAGAGAAACCTAGCAGACACCTGAACCAAATGATTAAAGTTGACAACACTACTAACAAGATAAAATGACATCATATGCTTCCTGTGGTGCAATGAAAACAACATACCACTTATACTGAATTTGTGCTAAAAATGTATACCTGAATCTAATCATGAAAAAACATTAGACAACCCCAATGTGAGGAATATTCTACAAGCCCTTGGAAAATTTCAAAGATAGGTCTCCTCTGACATATTCCAATCTCCTATTTTCTTTATCCCTATCCAAACTTCTAGATCCCAGGAACACTGGAATCACACTGCCCCTAGCAATCAAAGGGAGGGGATTTAAGAGAGAAGATTTTTTTTCTGGTCCAAATAATAATAATGAGAACTAAAGGAATATAATTATCTTTTATTTTCTAAATCATTACATTAAATTACACCTAACCATGGTAAGTACAGTGGATTTTTTAAAAACTTATTTTTTCATTTTTATACTAAGAATAAAAGAAAATCTATATTTCCTGTAAGTTTAAAAAAAAAAAAAAACTATCTCCCAATCATAACATACAAATCCAACTTCATTCCTACTAAAACAGCCAACCTGACAATAACACTTTTATGAAACCATTTGTATATTAGGTAAAATAGGAAAGCAACAAAAAATTCTTTATCTTACTTAACATATATTAATTTTCCCAAGAGTTGTAATTGTAAACAGTTTTCACAATATATCTTACTGTTTAGGAATAAATATATTCTTCTAAGATCCTCAACGAGATGGACTGACACAGTGGCTGCAACGATGGGCTCAAGTGTAACAACGATCATGAGGACAGCACAGGGTTTCATTCTGTTGCACACAGGGTCGCTATGAGTCGGAAGTGACTCGACAGCACCTAACAACCACAACAATTTACATTAAAAACAAAACTGATTTTTTTAATACATACCATCATCATCTTTGCTTTCTAGTGGAACACTCCAAGCTATTAGATTTCTTGCTGTACGACCCTCCTCTGCAACTATTCTCCTTACTTTGTCATGACTATTGGAGCGCTGGAATGAAGCCTATGTACAGAAAAGAGAAGATTTATTAGTTTATCTCAAATAAACATATAGAATATATATGATAAACAAATTCATTATTTCTCACATTTTCTCAGGAAGAAAATACTTAAAACTAATCTGAGATTTGGAGGAGGGTTAAACAAAGACAGTAAGTCACTAGTCTTTTTTAGGTCTAAAAAGACTGCATTTTACAAGTTTAAAAATAAATTATTTCAAGAATAAATATAATCAAACTATATGTACATAATGTATATATCTTATTTTTGTCTGTGCTATCCTCACCCAGCCTGAATGCAGCTCTAGCCTACAGGTTCAGCCCCACCAAGGCTCTGGGCCAGTGGGAGCCAGGCCCAGTAACATAAAGGAAACTACCTCCCCACTAATGAATGCTGTATGAAAATAGTCTGTTTTTATAAGCCAAGTATGTATGAGAGGAAAGGGATCATAAAGCATCCATATAAGTACCAAGATATACCTAACCCTTAACCACATGTGGGCAACAGGTCTCTTTCTGAATCAAGTTCACCACTGGCCCAGCCCCAAAATCCCAATCCAGTAAGTGGGTGCCTTCACCCCCTCTTCTTGTTCCTGCCAGCCTGAACTTTTAGCTTTCTTGGAATTCTTAGGCAACAAAAAATTTGCTGGGTATTTACTATGTGCAAAGCATATGCAAGACACTCAGGAGAACACAAAGAAATATGAGGTATTATACTTGTCCTCAAAATGTTAACAATCCAAATGAGTAAGCAGACATAGCAGAGCAAAAAAATAATATATATTCATCCCCTTGTGTAATCCCTTCCCCTTGAATCTGGCTCTGTGACTTGCTTTTTGACCAATAAATGAGGTAGAAATGAAAATGCATGACATCTGAGACCAGGTCATAAGAACCTTTTCAGCTTCCACCCAGGTCTCTTGGAATGCTCTCAGGATAGTCGTTCATAAAACCCAGAGATGAGAAGCCCAAGCCACAGTAGTCAGACCATGTATAGGCACTCTGGTTGACAGCCCCAGATGAACTCCCAGCTGACAGAATCCACTGCCACAGTGTCAGTGAGCCATCTTGGACATTCCAACCCAATCAAGTCCCCAGAAAACTGCTGCAGCACCCCAGCCAACACCACAGCCGAAGAGCTATCCATTCAACCCACAGAATCAGGAGAAATACTAGGAACTATACGTATGCACTGGTAGAGGGTCAGCGAAACAAGAAAAACCCTCAACGAGATGGACTGACACAATAGCCACAAGAATGGACTCAAATCTATGATCATGAAGACAGCACAAGACCAGGCAACGTTTTATTCTGGTATATACATGGGGTCACCGTAAGTCGAGCCAAGTCAATGGCAACTAACAACAACATATGTATACATACTAACCCACACATATACATATCTGTATCTCTGTGTGTGTGGTCATGTATAAAAAACCATGAGTTTATACTGATACTTCTAGTTTCAATCCTATATCACAGGGTTCACTTTAGCCTTTCCCTTTCATTATTTGTAACTTCTTTCTCCAACAGTAAGAAACCAGGTTCTCATTATCTACAATATATTCACTTACCTGTTCAGTTCTAAGACACACATGAAGTAATTTCGGAATTGCTAACCCATACTCCCATATGCATTTACTAACTAGACTACAGCATTTATGTACAGTTTGTCTTCAGCCTTATAGTATCCAGTCAGAGCACTGTTTTCCAAAGTTACTTAAGTTGACATCCTCAACTTCTTCAGTGTGGTTATTTATTTGTAATGTGTTACAAAAGTGTATTCCATGCAAAAGTATGGAAGAAATACACAAAGATGTATTTAGATGGAAGGGATACACAGAGTCACTGTAACAAAAAGAACTGGTCAATGTTCAACCATTTCAGGAGGCAGCATATGATCAAGAACTAATGGTACTGGAGGAAGAAGTCCAAGCTGCACTGAAGGCACTAGTGAAAAACAAGGCTCCAAGAACTGACGGAATACCAATTGAGATGTTTCACAAAACAGATGCAGCGCTGGAGGTGCTCACTCATCTATGCCAAGAAATTTGAACGACAGCTACCTGGCCAATGCTACCTGGCCAATGGACTGGAAGAGATCCATATCTGTATCAATTACAAAGAAAGGCATCCAACACAATGCAGAAATTATCAAACAGTATCATTAATATCACACGAAAGTAAAATTTTGCTGAAGATCATTCAAAAGCAGTTGCAGCAGTACATCGACAGTGAACTGTCAGCAATTCAAGCTGGATTCAGAAGAGGACGTGGAACAAGGGCTATCATTGCTGATGTCAGATGGATCTTGGCTGAAAGCAGAGAATACCAGAAAGATGTTTACCTGTGTTTTATTGACTATGCAAAGGCATCCAACTGTGTGGATCAGAACAAATTATGGATAACGCTACAAAGAATGGGACCTCCAGAACACTTAATTGTGCTCAGGTGGAACCTGTATATAGACCAAGAGGCAGTCATTTGAACAGAACAAGAGGATACAATGTGGTTTAAAATCAGGAAAGGTGTGTGTCAGGATTGTATCCTTTCACCATACTTATTCAATCTTTATGCTGAACAAACAATCCAAGAAGCTGTCCTACATGAAGAAGAATGCAGCATCAGGATTGGAGGAAGACTCACTAACAACCTGCGATATGCATATGACATAACCTTTCTTGCTGAAAGTGAAGAGGACTTGAAGCACTTACTGGTGAAGATCAAAGACTACAGCCTTCAGTATGGGTCAAACCACAACATAAAGAAAACAAAAATCCTCACAACTGGACCAATAAGCAACATCATGATAAATGGAGAAAATACTGAAGCTGTCAAGGATTTCATCTTACTTGGATCCACAAATCAACATCCATGGAAGCAGCAGTCAAAAAATCAAATGACGCACTGCACTGGGCAAATCTGCTGCAAAAGACCTCTCTAAAGCGTTAAGAAACAAAGATGTCACTTTAAGGACTAAGGTGCACCTGGCCCAAGCCATGGTATTTTCAATCGCCTCATGCATGCGAAAGCTGGACGACGAATAAGGGAGACCGAAAAAGAATTGACGCTTTTGAATTGTGGTGTTGGCGAAGAAAATTGAATACACCACGGACTGCCAGAAGAACAAAGAAATCTGTCCTGGAAGAAGTACAACCAGAATGCTCCTTAGAAGGAAGGATGGCGAGACTATGTCTCACATACTTTGGACCTGTTATCAGGAGGAATCAATCCCTGGAGAAGGACATCATGCTTGGTAGAGGTTCAGAGAAAAAGAGGAAGACCCTCAATGAGATGGAATGACACAGTGGCTGCAACAATGGGCTCAAGCATAACAACGATTGTAAGGATGGCACAGGACTGGGCAGTGTTTCGTTCTGTTGTACACAGGGTCACTATGAGTCGGAACCGACTTAACGGCACCTAATGACAACAAATGGGAGGAGTGAATAACTGCTTAATGCATTCACTCAACAAATATACTATATGGGAGACATTTCATTAGAAGGACTGGAAATAAAACTGTAACCATGACAAAGTTTCCCCCCTTATACAGTTTAAAATCCAGTAGAAGGGTTAAACAGGAAAATTACTAATGAAATAATATAAATTTCAGGTAGTGATTATGAAAAAAAAGAAAGCAGGATAGAGTAATAAAAGGTATTGAGGAAGAACTCTCTGGGGAGGTGACATCTTAATAAAAAACTGAATTACGTGCAGAAGCAAGCCATGCAGAGATCTGGAGAAAGAGCATTCTCAGCCAAGGAACTGGAACTGCAACCCTGCCAGGCACGCTTGGTTTATCCAAAGCGTGCTCGAGTAGGGAAAAGAAAAGGAGCATCCAGGGACCAGTGGATATAGCACCTAGGAGACCACATTAAGGACTTCAGATTTTGTTATAGGAAGTCAGTGGAAGGTTTGGGGAGCAGGAGTGTGTCATTTTTCTGCTTCGCATTTTTTTGAAAATCACTTGAACTGCTTTGCAGAGACTGTACTGGTACAAAAGTGCAAGCAGAAAGACCAATTACTAGTTAATACATTAGTTCAGGCAAGAGATGACAGTGGCTTTGACGGTGGTAGTAACGAGGAATGGTGAAAAGCCAACTGGGAGATAGGCAGGTAGGTAGGTAGGTACACAGGTTGGTAGATAAGAGATACACTATTTTTTAATTTGAAATAAATTCAAAATTATAGAAAAGATACAAATTAGTACTAAGACTACCCAAAATATCCTTAAACATATTTTCTGAAACATTTGAGAATAAAGTGCTGTCATGATACTCATTGCCCCTAAATAGTTTAATGTGTATTTCCTATATTCAAGGTACTGTTACATAACTACACTACAACTATCAAAAAGAGGATATTATCACTGATACAAAACTATTACCTAAATAACAACAACTATTTAAATTTCACCACTTGTCCCACTAATGCCTTTGATAGTATAAGATAAACTGACAAAAGATATCAGCCCAAGTCTTCCAGAAGCTCTACAAACCCCAAGCAGGACAAATACCAAAATACAGACACACAACTAAGCATATCATAGAAAAACTGATGAAAACCTGAAACAAAGGTAAAATCTTAAGAGCATACAGAAGGGGAAAATCTCATTACCTTTAAAGAAGAGACAATAGGATAAACAGCTCTATACCGTCCAGGAAGTGATAAAATTATTTATAATAAACTCTAATAAATCAATAACTTACTAGTGATTATTCAGTGGAAGAGTAGGATCAAAAGGCTGACTGAAGTGGGTTCCATAGAGAATGAGTGAGAAAATAGAGACAGTGAATATAAAATAGTTTTTGGGTTTTGCCATAACAGAGGACAGTGAAAGGAGAAGCTGAAAATGAATTAAGATGGATGATAGTACCTCATATTTTTACGCTGAAGGGAGTGATCCAAGAGAGAAAAATTTTATTATGTAGAGAAAAGAAGGAATAACCATAGCAGCTAAATCCATGAGTGACAAGGATTGGGTTTCAGTACACAAATGATG